AGTGGAATGGAGAGCTAAGCAACAAGTAAAGAGGTATATAGGTTACATTTGGAATGCTAGTTGGACATTGAAGTGGAAATGTGAATTCTAGGCTGGAGCTCAATGGGGAGAGTCAGCCTACAGTCAGACCATCCTGTAGGACATATTTAGGGGCTAACCATGGTGCAGCAGTAATACAGTGCTCTGTGAGACTGATTCACACAGGAAGGCTAGAGATTTGTGCATGGAGATCTTTCCCAACACACCAGGCAGGCTCAAGCCCACCATATGGGGCTGCCTGAGGCTGGGTGTGGACTATAGCATGGAGACCCTGTTGAGGATGCCTTTCTGTCTCTCTCTCTGTAACCTATGGAAGAAAGAAATAAATTTAACAAAAGAAGACATCCTATATTTAAAGCTATGAGACTTGATGAGTTATTGTAGGTGTTATGCTGTTCATCAGAGAATCCGAGAAGCTAGTGAAGAAAAAGGACAAGATAGTAGTGTCCCGGAGACTAACACTGATTAAAGGAGGGTGGATAATGGTGTTTAATGCTACAGTTGGTGGTAGGTCAAGGACAGTGACTACAAACTGACCGTTAGAACTGACAATGAGGTGGTTTTGACCTTGACAGGAGCAGATATGATAGAGTAATGGAAAACAAAAGGCTGAATGAAGAGGGCTTTAAGAGAGAATCGGAAGAAAAGAGAAAGAAGGTAGACAAATTTTACTGACACTTGCTACAAACAGGAGGGGACAAATGAGGCAACAGCTGGAGGGGAAGATGAGAGATTCTCCCCAATGAGAGACAAATGTCACTTTCATCTGTGTTGAGCCAATCTTCAGGCTGTAGGATCAAGGTCTGGTTCAGCTGGGTTGACTGAAATGATTTTTTGTCTCTCCCTGGTCTAATATATTGTTTAGTTTACTTAACTTGTGTGAGTGATAATACACACATCTTTGTGCAAATTTGCATGACATAGTGAAAGTTTTTTTTTTTTTTTGAGAGGTTTTTGCTATAGGGCACATGCGCTCGCCAGACAGACAGAGACAGAGAGATAGAAAGTGAGAAATCACCCCCCAGGGGGGATGGCCACGCCGCAATCCCTTCTCCTCCATTCTCCTCTCGGGATCTTGGGCACACACGCACACGTGCCCGGCGTGAGTTTAAGCCACCGGGTCCGGGACGCGAACCACGGTCGACTACGTGGGAGTCCAGCGACACAGTCATTATACTAACTGCTGGTCCCCATAGTGAAAGTTTTAATCAGCAGCTCTCTACAGTGATTATCAAAACTCTGAGAAAACATGCAAATGTCTGGATACTACACCTGTCCAAATAAATATATGACACACTTTCAAAAATATCTCCTTTTGTAATATGCAGTTTATGCACAGGTTAGAATTGAAATTATCATGTGAACAATGCAAATCAGCCACTAATACAATTACGCACACAAAGCCTATCTTTGCTTCAATAAATTTTGCTTCTCTTTTGAGTTTTCACTGCCACCTTGATGAATCATCAGGTAATGATTTGTTTAGAAACCAAATATTAAAGTCCATGTCTAATAACTAACTTTAGAGCTACATAAATAGAAGTCCAGTGCTCTCAATCTGTTTATGTCATGCCATAGAGTCATCCTTTCAAATAAAATAATATGCATATTGGCATGTTGGGGAAAATGACAGAGCCAGTTTAAAGTACAGAGTTGCCAGGAAAGCCATGGTGCATTTTTGCATAGAAAACCATAGAAAAATACGCCATGACTTTCCTGATGACCTAAGATAGAGTAAATCTCATGTTAAATTTCAATATAAAATTTTATATCACATATTTTAAAAAAAGGAAAGGCCCTATTAGATTCACTTTGGAGTAATGATCTTCGGCTTCTAGAAAGAATGGAGAAAAGCAACAATCACACTCCAGTGGACTTGGAAAATAATTTTAATTTTTATTCAAAGTACATGAGGGTGTCATCATTAGCCCTTATCTTATGCTCGAGAAATGCAGCCAATTGTTCAAGACAGTAAGGGAAACAGAAACTATTAGATTTGAAGCTCAAGTTTCAAGAAAAGTTCAGATAAGGCAGATAAAAACTCCAAAAACCTTCCCTTGTGCAACAAAGCCAAACACGTTACTCTCCAAATGCCTCCTTATTTTATAAAAATATAAATATCATTATTTTAGAAATCATAGTTTATTTAAGATTAACTTTTCTTCCTACATTACATGATTATTTGCTTTTTAAAGGAATGTTTCTTAATAGTGCCACCTATTTCATGAACTGCTCTGCAGTTGTTTTTTTAAAAATAATTCCAAATTATTTGGATTAGAATAAATACCACATACGCATGGAAAATATTTTATCACCACCAAATATAAAAGGTCAGTATTTAGAATGAAGACATTCATAGCTTTTAATAGCCTACTGTAATCACCCAGTAATATGAAACTATGATTGGACTGACTAAAGTATGGGTCTTTGTGTACAGACATATTCTGATGGAAAAAAATACCTAAAAAAAAAAAAAATAAGGGAATAAATGGGAGGGGGGGAATGCTAAGAATAAAGCTTAGCTAAACAAATTAATTTTTAGTATTGAAACTCACCAAACTTAGTACACTTTGAAAGAAACTGGTGGAATGTACTGCCCCTGACATGAATTATAATTAGAGAGCACTGTTTGTCTTCAGGAAATCACTAATTCAGTAGCTGATCTTTAGGTAGAAACAAAAATACAGGGGCTTTGACATTATTCATAGATACAGCACTGATTCAAATGAACAGAAGAGCAGCAATAACAACAACAACAACAACAACAAACCCAAACTGGATATAACGTGAATGGTAGCCCCCCAAACACAGAGTAGAATGGTGAAACCATCCCCTAACCCCCAATGGCCACTGTTTGTGTACTTCCTATTAATTCTGACAATACAGAGCAAGGCCTTACAAACGTACTTAAAGTAACTACAAAGTAAAACAATAACACATGCATAAATCGAACAACAGCAAGATGACCCTGTGAAGAAAATTTTCCTTCGTACCCAAGTACAGTTAGGAATTCTAAAACGAGCTTGTGTATAGCGACAGTGCAAATGGCATCCAGGCCAGGTCCCAGGTCCAGTGTGTCCAGTGACACACTTCCTCTTAGCAGCCACCGTCGAAGAACCCTGTTTAGTGAATGTTGACCATGACTGGCTCGCTAACACCATGAACAACGTGGCCAGGGCCTCATTCACATTAGCTGGTTGAGCGTTACTCTTGGAAAACAGACATTGGACTGTTTCTCACTAACAAGTTCTGGTCATTAGCGAACTAAAATGAATCTTAAGTTGGCGGGACATGTGATAACTTCGTGCCTTTTTTTAATAAAACCCCCATGTTTGTTAGGCAGCCATTTAAATTAATCTTCCCTCTATTCAACTTATTTCCCTTTCTCTTCCCTAAGGAGGACCCTATGTAAACCTAAAAACATACGGTAACTTACTGTACAAGGTTTCTCAAAGTGCAAAATATGTTACAGATCATTTCATAGGCTTCATTTAAAACAGCATTTTATACAATACAGTACAGGTTGAAATTTCTGCTCATAAATTATACCCCTAAAATGACAACTACTTTGAAAGGGTTGAACACGTAAAACAACCCAGAGGCCTTCTTACACGAGGTTAATATAACTGAACATTACAAGCTTTGTTCAGACCAAAATAAAGTGGATTTTATGCTTAATCACATATATACATATTTTAAATGCTAGGTACAAACAAATCTCTTAAGTATAGACAGACATTTGTTCAGAGAGGTAAGTTCTCCTCAGTTATGGTTATTTCTCATTTACACACAGACTTTATACACAATGTTCAAAAATAATTTGCAGGACCATTTACTTCAATTCTTTCTGCAAAATCTGCTCATCCGGTAACTCTTTCTGAAGTGTTCTCGACCGCTGTAGAACCACATTCAGTTCTTCGATTACCTTTGACGGTAGCTTATGGTCGGAGTCCAAAGTCACTTTGCTGTTCCTGTCCTCAGTCTTCCTCAAGGTCTTTAGACCTCGCTGGCCTTTTTGTTGGCCATGGGAGACCTCAGACTCTGTGTCCTCCAGGCAGTTGAAACTCCGATGTTTCCTGGTTCGATTTCGAAGTTTGTCGTCCTTGTGTTCCAGGCAGTGGGCCACGATGGAGGCTCTCTCCTTCAGGGTAGCGTCCACAGACCCTTTATCATGGTTTTCACTGAGCCGCAGCCTTTCGAGTTCTGCTCTTGCACTCTAAAAATGAAATCAAATGTCTCACAGGAAAGCACGATTTGGCACGCTCTACGTTTCCAGAACATTCCACATGAAAGTTGATGTGCCCAATACATGCGCTTATTTCTACAATTTAGTTTCTTACTTTGCTTTGACACAAGTGGCAGGTCTGAATTCATACACTGATGTGAGGGCTACCAAATCAAATCAAATGTAGACCATAGACATCCTTTTCCACATGCATTTAACATACTCCTTCAAAGCTATGTCTCAGGGTGGTTTTTCAAATGGACTCTTCACTGCAAATTCTCCTCTTCCAACTCACTACGGTTGGGTGTGTCATGTGAGCTCACACTGTGGTCCCTAGAGTGTGGTACTCTTAGTGCAGAGGAAACGAGGTGGTCGTCATGGCCACGTGAGCCAGGTGAACGCTCTGCTCTAGAGCACATTCTTCTAGAGTCACAGCATGTACGAGCGTATAAAAGACACTGAGAATTATCAGGGCAGGAAAATCTCTTTAACTTCTCCCCTCCCCTCCCATATATTGACTACTGAAAGCTTTTCTCTTACATAATGTCTACTAAAATTCCTCATCATATTTTTGAAAACAATGGCATGTGTGTTTATGTATTTTTTTTATCATGTTCATTCTATTTCTTCCAAGAGTGAGAGAGACAGAAAAAAAACAGAGAGAGGGACAAGCATCCCCAACAAAGTCTCCATGCTGCACCCCACTCCCCGGGATCATAGCCACGCACATGCTCTGCGTGCTCAAGAGGTCTCTGGACATGCACCTGGAACCATCCCAGGTGTATCAACCGGCCTCACGGAGCACTTCTGCACCATCTGACCCACTGTCCCACCCGGATACATTCATGCATTAAAACGCACTTCAGTATCATTGCATGATAGTGCACATTCATTCAGCGAACTGTCAGGGCCTATAGGTATCTGGCGTGCACTGTGACAAGATACTGGTCTAGAGGGGGGTTTTTTTAAACTAACGTCAGGGACATCTTGTGACAGGGCAATATCTAGTGTGGACAGCAGCACTCTCCTCTGATTCTCAAAAGAGATAAAGTGAGAATGAGCAACGGAGAACTAAGCATATAGGTTCCCCAATAAACAGGTTACTAATAAACTGAGTCAGCATGCCAATGGTGGTGTGAAAAGAAGAGTTATTTTTCTTTTCTCAGGATTTTTCTTCAAAATTTTCTCTGTAAAAATTGCAACATGTAGGAGAGAAATCACCCCCCAGGGAGGATGGTCACCCCATGACCCCTTCTCCTTTATTCTTCTCTCTGGATTCTGGGCATGCATGCACACACACCTGGCGTGAGTTTTTTAAGTCATTGGGTCTGGGATTTGAGGTTGACTATGTGGGAGGCCAGTTCCATAACCATTATGCCATCTACTCGTCCCGGGAGTCCAGTATCTTAACTACTACACCACCCTTAAAACGACTTTAGTCTTTCAAACATTATGGCGGGTTTAAGGGTAAGATATTCAAACGGTTTAATCTCAAATTTAGGCTTAAAGGATTTGTAATGCCACCTTTAAATGCTTTTCTTTGCTTTGAGGGAATCAATTAAGGCACCGAAACATGCAACAGTCCCAACACAGCTAATGAGTTTTGAGAGTAAACAGCTTACGTCCTCTCCTGAAGAGACTGAACTGAAAATGTCAAGATTGATGCTACTTAGGTTCTTCCAACCCTCATGGTGAGAAGGAAAACAAACAGCAGCCTTTGCTGAAGATGCCACATCTTTTTTATTGATGCTCAGGGGTCATCTTGCAGTCCCTTAAATTAACTGAGACACCCCATCAGTTCCCAACTACTGGACTTTGACTGTGTTTCTAGAAAGTCTAGTTACCATGACGCCAGACATATTCTCACTATGGACTCACTTGAGAGTATTATAAGCAAACTATAAGACTGATTTGAGACTTGGATTTTACCAACAGAATTTCTACACACATATGTAAAACTGCTTGTCTACTTAAGAGATAAGAAAAAAAGTGGCATTGTACATATGTCACTAGGTGGTCAGTGACATTCAAGTAAGCATTCATAATGTTTTCTTTTTTTTTTTTTGGAGAGCTTTTTCCCATAGGGCACATGTGCTAGCCAGAAAGACAGAGAGACAGAAAGCGAGAAATCAGCCCCCCAGAGGAGATGGCCATGATGCAATCCCTTCGCCTCCATTGTCCTCTTGGTATCTTGGGCATACACGCACATGCACCCAGCGTGAGATTAAGCCACCAGGTCTGGAACTCAAACCATGGTCAACTACATGGGAGTCCAGTGACATAGCCATTAAGACAACTGCTGGTCCCCATAACGTTTTCTTGATGTATGTGATTACTACAATGCTTTTCAAAATGATTATCACTGTGCTTTTGAACCCAAAGAAGTAATTAATGCACTTAATCACATTAAGACATAGGAAAGCAAAGACCATAATTTAATATGAGACCATCAAAATCCTAACCTACCTCAATATTTTTCCGGGCTTGGGTAGCAGTCCTCTCATGCTGAATGGGAATTAGAGGCAAACCTCCAATTTTGGGATTTTTGGTGATTGAACGTTTTCGTTCCTTTCCAGCTGGTGGCCAGACATCATTTTCATGCTGTGGAAACACAATTTCTTGCCGTGGGTGTGTGATTTTATTACACGGTACACCATGTTATGTAGTCACTGGGCTCCTTTTCCATACACCCACATGGAATGATCTGCTTTCCATGAGAATGCCATTTGTAATTATGATGTTGACTCTGGCGGGGACACTGCTTCAGGACACAAAACTCTTAAGTGAACTGAGCTTTGAGGTCTCAGTTCAATTTCTAAGTTTCAGATATATGCCTTCTGTACTACTTATCAAGCCAAAATGGGAAAAAAATATTTGAGGAAACAGGCAAATCTCTTTGTGAGAGAAAATACACTTTCTCGAGTCCAGTGACATAGCCATTAAGACAACTGCTGGTCCCCATAACGTTTTCTTGATGTATGTGATTACTACAATGCTTTTCAAAATGATTATCACTGTGCTTTTGAACCCAAAGAAGTAATTAATGCACTTAATCACATTAAGACATAGGAAAGCAAAGACCATAATTTAATATGAGACCATCAAAATCCTAACCTACCTCAATATTTTTCCGGGCTTGGGTAGCAGTCCTCTCATGCTGAATGGGAATTAGAGGCAAACCTCCAATTTTGGGATTTTTGGTGATTGAACGTTTTCGTTCCTTTCCAGCTGGTGGCCAGACATCATTTTCATGCTGTGGAAACACAATTTCTTGCCGTGGGTGTGTGATTTTATTACACGGTACACCATGTTATGTAGTCACTGGGCTCCTTTTCCATACACCCACATGGAATGATCTGCTTTCCATGAGAATGCCATTTGTAATTATGATGTTGACTCTGGCGGGGACACTGCTTCAGGACACAAAACTCTTAAGTGAACTGAGCTTTGAGGTCTCAGTTCAATTTCTAAGTTTCAGATATATGCCTTCTGTACTACTTATCAAGCCAAAATGGGAAAAAAATATTTGAGGAAACAGGCAAATCTCTTTGTGAGAGAAAATACACTTTCTCTGTCGGAAGGCCCTACAACTATACATTTAAGTAGTCTCTAGATCAAAGATGATTTTACTGTAAAAATAATTAATCTTACAGACCCCAAATCAACTTAGGGCATGGCTAGCAGAAAAATCAGCCTTCTTTCAATGCCCTTTGGAAAAGTTACTTTCTCACTGAGTGAATTCCCAATGGTATGTTATCTTTTTATACAGACGTGTGTTCTGAAAATCACTACACGACAGAGTGTCGCACGTCTGTTCTCAAATTATGGACTACATAGTCTGGCCTACTGAACAATTATAGATATGACTGGAAAGAAAGCTAATTTTGCAATGGGGATAAATGTCCACAGGTTAAAAAGAAAAAAAAAAAAAAAAAAAGCTCCTGAGTGATTAATCCTTGAGATATACATGTAGAAGAAAACTCTTTAAATAATTTTTACATTCCTCAGGGTAGATTAACTTTTCAAAAGTTAGAAAAAGCAAATTAACTTTCAGACAACAATCTCTGACAGAAATACAGAATAAGTATAAAAGAAGCGTGCAGAGGTTCTGATGAAAGCAAAACTATTTTGCGTAAATGCTATAGCTAAATGCCTATTCCTCATTTTCCTTAATTCTTAAGATATATTTACTGGTTCCAGTTCTTATGCTGTGTTTAGTATTTTAATGTATTTTTAAAAAATAACTATTCATTTAGTTTTATTTATTCATTCATTTATTTTAAGTTGACCAGAGAGAGAGAGAGACAGAGACAGAGAGAGAAAGGAAATGAGAAAGCAAGCCATCAGGTCCAGGAATCTAACCAGGGTTAGCCATTTGGGAGTGTCCAGTGTCTTAACTACCACGCCACCTACTGGTCTCTTAATGTATTTTTTTATAGGAAAAAAAAAAAAAAACCTCAACAAATATTTACAATAGGCCAGTTACATACTATATAAAGGTTGAGTATCCCTAATTGGAAATACTTGAGAAGGAAAGTGTTTCAATTCCTTGAATTTTGGGATATCTGCATATAGATAATAAGGTATCTTGGGGATAGAAACCAGGTCTAAACACAAAACTCATTTATGTCTCATCTACATCTTATACAAATAACTTGAAAGTAATTTAATGTAATACTTTAATACTAAAACTGCAACCTATCATGTGAGGTCAGGTGTGGAAGTTTCAGATTTTGGAGTGTTTGGGATTTTGAATTTTCAGATTAAGGATGGTTAATCTATAGCCAATTTATAATGAGGGGCCTATTCTCAAGCTTTGTGCTTATCAATATACATAGAGTCATTCACTTAATTTTCTGTAACCCTACAGTGTAGGTCCTATTATTACTGGGCTTAGTAAATGTACATCATATTTATTCTTAATTTTAGTGAAGCATTTACCTTGGTTCAACAAGTGTATAATAGTAGGTTACACTTTATTTTAATCAGAGAGAAATGTATGAGCTTCATGTTATTTTTATATCCAGGCCCCTCCAAATGGCAAAAATAACTGATACTATATAATTAGGATGTTCTCAAGATGTAAAATTGGATGACCATTGGCTGCAAAGGAATTAGATAATCCTGTAAATTATGCTTTCAAATCACTGACGATGGTGTGTACGCTACATGGCATTATTGGGAACCTAAGAAAAACGCAATTCCCAAACTTGTAATTTTTTTTTTCTTTTTCTGAAATAAGATACGAACAGTGGGATGACTAGCTAATTAGTTCACACTGGAAATGATCCCAGAGGAATTTTTTCAATGGCAGAAATCTTTAGGTGGACGTGATCTGTTGTTCTGATTTCACATTTATGGTTATTTTTAACTTCAAAAGTCATATAGCATGGATGGGAACCAGCAGTTAGCGTAATGGCTATGTTGCTGGACTCCCACGTAGTCGACCGCGGTTCGCATCCCGGACCCGGTGGCTTAAAACTCACGCCGGGCGCGTGTGTGAGCGTGCCCAAGATCCCGAGAGGAGAATGGAGGAGAAGGGATTGTGGTGTGGCCATCCCCTCTAGGCGGTGATTTCTTGCTTTCTGTCTCTATGTCTCTCTCTGTCTGTCTGGCAAGCGCACGCGCCCTATAGCAAAAATCTCTCCAAAAGAAAAAAAAATTTTTTTAAAAAGTCATATAGCATGGATCACATAGCTGAGGTTCATACTTTTATTGTTATAAATGATCACCGCATCAAAAACAATCTCATTTCCGCCTCCCTCTTTCTAAACTTGACCTCCCTATCTTTCCCGCAAACTTAAGATAGTTTGATTCATTCTAAGTATTCTCTGAACTCTTTGAGACCTCCTATCTGTGTACCAACATTCTCCTTTCTACACCCCCCGCCCCATTTCCCTCATAGCCTAGCTTTGATTTCACGGGCAATCAAAACTCATATCCTTATAACTCTCTCTAAGTCCTGTGTCCCTTCTCAAACAAACGTGCCTGGAAAATCCCCGAACCTACTTGAGCACAGTTCTACTTACTCTGTGAGTGCCTGACAGTAGATAGAGAAAAAAGAAACAGAAGATCACTCTCTAGATGTGTCTGACTTTAAATGTAACCTTATATTTCAAGAAGTGAGAACTCAGCACTACCCAGAAATTGTACCACAGGATAGGCTTCCCCATTCTCTGAAAATTACTTGTCACCTTTTCCTCTGCCCTTCCAGTTCTAATATCCATCCCTGCTCACATGTAGTGAACTCGCTGACTTAACTTAAAAAATATATTTGTAATATGTGTAACCACGTGAACAAGCTTCCCTTCTCTTTTCTTGCAAGCATTATTTGCTCTGAGATATACAACTTTTCTCTAGTCATATCTGCTCAGGTGGTTAGAGCATGTGGTCCATGACTTGAGAACAAATGTGCCATACCCTTTGTTGTATGATTCTGGTGAAGAAGAACGACTATGAGCTTAATCATGCTGCGTCATATCTGCTCAGCACCTGTCTGCTGGTTTAATAATCTCTCTCCTCCTGTATTGATTTCTTCCTCCAAGTACTGGTGGTCTCCATCAACGTGCATGCAAATTAGACACTATCCAATCTTAAGGACTATGAAACTGAAACCCCAAAATATACCCTGACCTCTTGTTTCTATACAGTTACCTCATTCATCTAGATATCAAATTACTGTTAGCATTTTCTATATCCATCACCTCATTTTTATCCTTTCTCACACCCTTATTTCTTTTGTTGTGTTTTTCTTTTACTTGACTTAATGTTTAGAATACACTAGGGCTTGTGTTTCTCTCTCTCTCTCTCTCTCTCTCTCTCTCCTTCCCTGCTTCTCTATCATATCATCCAGTTTTATAGCTTTCAATACAAAGTACATGCTGACTTCCCCCAAATCTACATTTTAGCTCCGAGCTTTGCTTACGTGTTTGATCCATATACTAAACACGCTGCTACTCAGCATATTCAAATCTGTGTATTTAAGAAACAACTCAAATTTTATGAAGCCAAAACAGAACTCTTAATTTCCTTCTACATCTATCTCTGATAAATTCCACTGACATTTGCCAGTAGCCCACGGCCTTCAAACTAAGGCTTTTCCATGCTTTTTACTCCTCCTCTCACACTGTAATTAAGCTAATCAGTACAAATGCTTCGTTGGCTCTACCTCCAAAATACTCCTACATCTGAATAGGTCTTCCTATATCCACCTCTACTTCCTAGTCTGAGCTGACATCTTTCATATCACCACCCTTCCTGCTTCCATCTTTGACCCTCTACAGCACTGCCTCAACAAAGTAACCAAGACTGTTTCTCAATGAAAATAAATCAGATTATATTCTTCCCGTGTTTCAAGTTCTTAAAAAAGGAATGGCATGATCTGTACTCTACCCTCCTCATCTCTTACCGCTTCCCTCACACAGGCGTTCATGATGTTCATGGAATAAACCAAGATCATGACAATGTCTCAGGGTCTGAACCTGCTGGCCACTCTCCCTGGACAGACCCCGCCTAGAATAAGCTGCTTGATTATCTCCCTCTTTTCAGAAAGGGTTCAGCATACATGTTACTCAGAAAGCCACTTCCTTACAACCTTTTTCAATGAGTGTCCTTCCTTCCCTCAGTTACTCTCTTTCTCCTTTCCCAATTACCTGCTTGATCACACTGAAAGCCATTTGAAATTTCATCTGATTGCTCATTCATTTTCTGACCCTCTTTCCTATTTAGAAATGCTAACTGAGCACAAACTTTGTAAAAGGCATTGGGCTTTGTGGGGTCTATATAGACAAAAAAGGATAGAGATCTTCTCACAGAGTTGCCCTTTTAGTCAGTGAGGCTGACATGAAATCATAAATTGCACATGCGTTTTAGGTAGTGCTATAATGAAGCAGTGCAGGATGCAGAGTGATAGCCTGAAGGTTTCACTGGTCTGAAGGTCAGAGAACGTGTTTCTGAGAATGTGATAGTACAGCTGAAATCTAGAGGACTTTGAGAAAGGGGTGATGATGGGGATAGATATTAGAATTCCAGGTACCCAAAAGAACTCATCATAAGAGGCATGTGCTGTTGGTTAGCATGTGCGTTTATGCATATGACTGAGGAGAGCATATTCACATATTCACCTCATTTTATTATGCTTCACTGTATTGCATGCTGCAGGTCTCATGTTTTATAATTTGAAGGTTTGGGGCAACCCTGGATAGCTTTGAGGGTTCAAGACTCTGTGTAGGAAGTAACTGCAGATGTAGTGGAAATAGTGAGAACCAGAACAAGAAGGGGGGCTGAAGAGGTGACTGACTTGCTGCAGTCTCGTGATGAAACCTGGGTGGATGAGGAGCTGCTTCTTTTGGATGAGCAAAGACAGTGGCTTCTTGAGATGAAATCTGCTCCAGATGAAGATGCCATGAACAGGGTTGAAATGACAATAAAGGATTTCAAATATTACTTATCGTTAGTTGAAAAAGCTGAAGCAGGAACGGAGAGGACTGGCTGACTCGGAAAAATTCTAGTATGGCTAAAATGCTATTAAACGACATCTCATGCTCTACAGAAGTCATTTGTGAAGGGGTCAGCAGGAGGTGTGGTGGTTAAGGGCACAGGACTCCCACATGGCTGACCGTGATTCGAGTCCCAGACCTGGCAACTTGCTTTCTCTCTTTCTTTCTCTCTCTTATTCTGACTCTCTCTGGTCAAAATTTAAAAAAATAAATGAAGTTAAATAAAATAATTCTTTAAAGAAAGCATTGGTGAAAGAGTCAGTTGATGCAATTTACTTGTCTTATTTTGATTGGACTAAATCTTTGGGGTCGGGACAAGGAAGGCTAAGTGTGGTAGGGAGAAATAGCCTCACTGTGGGAGCGACTCTGCTTGCTGGCTGTTCATTCCTTGACTTTCAGCCACGGAGTCTACGACACTCCATGATAAAAATCCAAATATCAATGTGATTGTGTCACCAACAGATGTCGCAACAGCTATGTTTCCAACTTTAGTAAAATGCTATCCAAAAACTCATTTCCCCCCAAAGCAGAGTTTGATTATCTATATTTTTAAAAGTTGCACAAAAATAAGTCTCTAAAAAGTTAGCCCGCCAGTCTGTTTCTGCAAATGTATTCCCAGGTAACAATAGTAGAGAGAGGTTTAGAAGCACGGTGTTTATTAACCACTGGAAAGGTTAATAAATTAAATGAACAGAGAAAATGGCTTTCAAAGCAAATAAAGACTAGATTTTGAGGTGAGTTAACTTCTTCCTTGTAAGAGAAACAGGAAAGTACCTCCTCAGTAATAAAGAGTGGCAACTTAATCGTTACCAATGAATTTCAACGCCGTGTGAGCAGCACTGTGGGCAATTCGGCCAGACAGGGTTGGGAATGAAGTCAATCCAATTAATGGGGCGATTTAACCCTTCCCCCAAAGAATCTCACTCAATGTGGGATTAATGTGAATATAAAACACTGACCTCAGACATCCTTGGGTTTAAACTACTCACGAAGTATATTATCCAGGGCCAACAACAGAGCCTTTAGGACATGTCTACACACAATAGGTATGAAAGAAATGTCAGCTCCTACCCTTGTTCTTGGAAAGGCAGGGTTGTGGAAAGTGGCAAAAAGGGGGAAAGAACACTTCCTAATGAAGATGTACGACTCTGGTTGGATGACAACTTAGACAAGTCCCTCTTTCCTACAGGACCATCTTAAAGCAGTACATATCCACTAGGCCAGGGAGCTGTGGGCTGCTAACAAAATCAACAACAACAACAAAAACCAAACGAACAAAAAAACAAAACCAACAAAATTAAATCCCTGTTTCAAAAGGTCGCAAATACATTTGGGTTTTAAAATATTTTACAAATGTATAATCTAAAATTCTTACAAAAATTTCTTGGAAAATCACCACCATGATAATATTTCCTGTAAAAATAAGTTACTACAGGCTACTGGATAGCTGAAACACATGTCATACCTGGGCATAAAAGACACTGGCCATCCACTCCATCTGGGTTTGTAAACTGTCACAGCACAGGTGCCTGCAAAACAAGGTTGGTAAGATGCAAAAGTCAAAACCCACTAGATTATCTTCAGTCTATTTGACAATTTAGAGATCAGAATTCTTTTTTTCCCCCCTAATAAAGGACAATGCAATTTACAAGTTGATTATTTCTGTACAAGTGATTTCATCTTCTGCTAAGCATGTAACAGTGGAAATATCCTGGTTTAAACGCAATCCACCTAAGGTATTGGTTACTGTGGGAACATAATCAATATTTTTAGAAAGGCAGAAAGGTCAGTGTCATTTTGCTTTTTCAAGCACAGGAAAAGCATCTTTTCCTCAGAAACTCAGCTAAAGAAGCAACATATGTTCACCTTCTATTTATTTATTTATTTTTTTTTAGAGAGGTTTATTTTGCTATGAGGCGCGTGCGCTCACCAGAAAGACAGAGAAAGACAGAGAGATAGAAAGCGAGAAATCATCCCCCAGGGGGGATGGCCATGCCACAATCCTTTCTCCTCCATTCTCTTCTCAGGATTTTGGGCACGCACGCACACATGCCCAGTATGAGTTTAAGCCACTGGGTCTGGGAGTCGAACCGCAGTCGACTACATGGGAGCCCAGCGATATAGCCATTACGCCAATTTTTGGTCCCTGTTCACCTTCTCTTAAGAATAGAATTTTGCAGCTTAGACATACTTTCCATCACACTTATTATAAGGGCTAATACCCACAAGCTCATCAAAAAATAAACTACATGAAAGAAAAAAAATGCATATCCACTACCAATTCAGTATCCTTTTACTGGAAACCTTAATTTAAAAAAAAAAAAAAAAAAAAAAGAAAGAAAGAAAGAATGAAAAAGAGTGATTTTCCTCAAGACTCATGTCGTCAATTAGGGGAGAAGGGAACATTACAAATAAATTCTTGGGTCACTGGGAAAGTCATGATGAATTTTTGCATAGAAAAACAAGTCACATGCATTTTTGCATAGAAATACACATCAAGACTTTCCCAACAACCGAATACAACACAGTGAGAGAAGCAGAAGGAATGCTGAGCACACACCCAGCTGTGGCAGACTGGGCAATGAGGTGAGAATTGTTCTACAAATGTTCTACAACTGATGTTAAATGACAAAGACATTTTCATGTTCGTGTATTCTTCATATTGTATCATGAAAAATAATTTACTTCGGAAAAAATGTTTAAAAGGACATTTCTAAAAAATGCTTGCTTCATTAGGGGGCCATAAAAACACTGACACTTCCCATGGCCATGCTCAAGAAAACAGTATCCTGTACAAATCCTTTTAATTATGCACTCACATTTATGAAATACTGTAGGTGCAAAGAAGAAATAAGCAATGATTAGAGGTGACAGCAAGCTGCTCAGACTTCCAGGACATTCTGGCTAGAGTTTGAAATCAGAATGGCAGCTGAGCCTGCTGGGTCATCAGAATGGCAGCCATGAGGGAAGAGAGCAGTGGGATGTGCAGACAGGTCAGGAATGGGACCATGTTCACTGAACATGTAGGGATGAAGCAGCCAGGAATGCATGGGGAATTACAGAAAGGTTTGTTTTATCCTGAGAGAAGGAGAAGTTGGGGAGAAGAATCTGATTGAGCTGCATATTGCAGAACCTTGCATGTCATACCAACACCTGCACGGAACAGAATTCACATAAGAGTTTTGTCTTTATTTTTGCTTTTTAGATTTTTGCCATAGGGTGTATACACTTGCCTGAGAGAGACAGAGAGAAAGGGAAAGTGAGAAAGCATCCCCAGGGAGGATGGCCATCATGCAAACCCTTCTCCTCATTCTCCACTCAGGATTTTGGACATGCATGCACACATTTCTGGGGTGTTTTTCAAGCCTTAAGGTCTGGGACTAGAATCTTGAAGTCAGCCATGTGGGTTCCAGTGCCTTAACCATCATGCTGTCTACTGGCTCAATGTAAGAGTTTCAAAGCAGAAGGGAAATGTAACGCATCATAGAAAGGTTTCTTTGATGGTTGGGTAGAGAAGGTACTAGAAAGCAAAAGTCACTGGCATAACGTATACTTCAGATTCTTGGAATAATCCAGAAGAATCCATAAAAAGCTGGCCTCGAGGATACAGGGTATGGGTGGGTGAGAGGGACAATTAAGAGGCAGATGGAGGTAGGCATCAGTGATTGATATGACATAGTTAAGGGAAGGAGGAGATATTTAGTACAATTTAGTACAACCTCTGGGGAGACTGGTAACATCAGGAGGAAAGAGTAACACTAAGATTGAAGTCACCACCCATACATAAAATCCAAAAGTTACCAGCTATTAGCTTACCAGTGATGTTTTTCAGAATACGCGGTCAATCCCCAACTGAAAAAAAAACACACACACAAATGCACATTAAAAATGATCATTTTTACAAGACTGAGAACCAGGTTAGCTGTTAAGGAGGTAAGATTTAATGGTGGAAATGCATAACAGAACAGATTTCCACAGCGATGATGCAAGGGCATAACCTGGCTGAACTTGAGTGGGAACCGTTAAGGAGTTTGGCTGCAAATTTAAATAGCCTACAGAGAACATCCTGTGATGCTATGGGAGAAGGGGAAATCTCCAAGAAGATGATCTTATCTGAATAAGGGCAACTATCTAGGAAGACAGTCAGTGTAAGAAAAGATACAGCACCCCTTCACTTATGAGATTATGTTCTCATAAAGCCATCCTAAATTGAAAGTATTTTGTGAAAATGCACTCAAAACACCTAACCTACCAGACATTGTAGCTTAGCCTAGACTGCCTTAAATGTGATCAGAACACTCATATTAGCCTACAGTTGGGCAAAATCATCTAACGCAAAGGCTATTTTATAATAAAAAAGTGAGATGTTTCATGTAATTTACTGAAAGTGAAAAACAGAATGGTTACACAGATACTTGAAGTATGGTTGTCACTGAAAGCACACTGCTTGTGCACCATCGATGGTTGAAAATCTAAGTCGAACCATCGTGAAACTAGGGACTCACTATATGAACTGGTGTGGCAATACTGGGAGGATTCTCAACTAGACAGGTCTGAGAAATATTTCATGTTGGGTAAAGTCTTTTTAGAAGCAAAATGATGAATAGTGATTGAATGCTTAAAAAAATAATTGGAATAGTAATAATAATCTGGAAAAAAATGAAAAGCTATTGGATGATGATGGGGATTTTAATTTCTTTGTATTGACTGATATGCATGGTCTTCCTTCTGGAAAAAGAAATGTAATACACTGTAAGTTATATGTGATTCAATGCAATATAAACAAGATTATGATAATAAAAATGAATAAAAAAGAAATGAAAGAATGTGCTAATTGTGACTCCTTCATGTGCTGGGCTGAAAAACTACCTTTGGAAGAAAAAGTAAAGACATTTTCTGTAATAAAAATTTCACAGTAAGCACATACAGTTCATTAAGATGTTTCTTGATGTTAACAAAAGTATTAATGCAAACATTGATTCTCTAATCAAGGAAATATGTGATAAGCAACTGTGGAATAAACTGAATGCTAAGGTGGATGAAGTGTTGAAGAGGCACAACAGGTTAAAATGGGTCCTCTGTGTCATCGATGTGCTGGAGGCTCAATATCAAACTTGACAAAACAGAAGGCAAATGACAGAGCTCAGATTAAGTCATTCTAAAAGCCAAGTGTCAGGAGGCCGGAGGGTGGCACTGCCTTCTCTGTGTGTAGACTTGCCTGGGACTCAGGCTGTAGTTTGACTGATACAGAACTGAGATGCAAGGAAACACCAGTGTTTCCCAGCCAACAGAGTCTCCTGGGGCTTTTGGCTCTTCATAGGAGAGGGTGTGATTTCCTAGGAACTTGACCTCCAGTTCATGGGAATGTCATCCCTCTTCCTCTGTTCAGAGAGGCTCCCTGATCTGCCATATGGCTCCTGTCACAGATGACGCATCTTAAGGAATTGTCTTTTATCTACAGAAAGGACAGACTAAGGCCATCCCTAAATCTCTAGACGTCGTTTCTTGTGTGTGTGTGTGTGTTTTTCTCTCCTCCCTCTCATACATCCCTTCCTTTTCAAACTTCACCTTGTTGGAGGCTTCGTTTTCTTTTTCACTCCAAGATAAAACCTCATTGAACTGACGGCAATCATTTTGTCATGTTTACTACTCTGGAAAGAAAACAAAATAGTGTCTCATTAAACTGATTTTATAAATTTCCTTATATTTTCCTCAAGTGTTAATGACTGAGTGTTTAGAATTATTCATTTTTTCCAATGTTTCAAGAATACCAATTTTCGGTAAATACAGAATCTACTGATTTCAATATAATCAAAATACACATGTATATTTATATGCATGTACACATACATACACACCTAAACAACTCCACAATTCTTTTTTTTCTTTTTTTTTAGGTTTTTGCCAAAGGGCACATGTGCTTGCTAGAGAGAAACAGAAAGAGACGGAATGAAAGTGAGAAATCAACCCCAAGGAAGAATAGCCACACTACAATTCCTTCTCTTCTATTCTCTTCTCAGGATTTTGGGTACACACCCAGAGGTGCCCGATGTGCTTTTCAAGCCATCAGGTTCAGGATTCGAACTATGGTTGGACACGTGGGCATCTAGCACTTTAACCACCATGCCACCTGCTGGTCCCAGCTCTATAATTTTTTTTATTTGGGAACGCTTAGTGGGGCGAAGTGGTAGCACAGTGAACCCACATGGGAAAGGTCCTGGCTTCTCATCCTGGGATCTCTTCAAGCATGCCAGCACACACGTGTGCCCAAGATCCAGTCAGCTGAGAGCACGGGGCTCGAGGTTCTAAAGATCTGTGTGTAAATCTGACTTGTTATTTACTTATTTTGCAACTTAACATTACTTTTCTGTGCTCTCATTTCCTTTTTGTAAATAGGAATAATAAAAGTACTGACCATCTCACTGGGTCATGTTTAGATTAAATAAGAAAGTAAAGTTATTGTGGAGGGGCATTTTTAAGATTAAACCAATAAATGCCTATACAGGGTCTAGTCCAGTAATTGGCCTTAAGTAAGCTCATAGGAAATAACAGCTACAGATGAAGTATCCCCAAATGCTTCAGACGAAAAGTATTTCAAATTTCCATTGTTTAAAAATTTTAGAATACACATTAAAATATCTAAACACAAAAGTCAATTCAGTTTCGTATACACAAATTCACAGTCTGAAGAAAATTCCATATATTTTTGTATTGCAGTATTTTTCCATTTATTTTATGTATTACTTCTGTTTATCTCCATAGCACACAATGGAGTCTTAAAACACATGCATTATGTTACCACGAAATCAAGGACATTACCATACACACTTTTCCCCTCTGAGAACTTTATGTTCTTGTGTCTCTCAAGTACTAACTCCCTAAGCCCCTCCTCTATAATGTCTGGTATCCACGTTTGTCTTCCCTACTGTGTATCTTTAGGTATATCAGTTTCTGTATGTGTGTATATATATATATATATATATATAGATAGATAGATAGATAGATAGATAGATAGATATAGATGTAGATATAGACATAAATTTTTCACTAACCTTGGTTTTTGTAGGTATGGCCACACCACAATCCCTTCTCCTCCATTCTCCTCCTGGGATCTTGAGCACACACGTACGTGCACCCGGTGTGGTTTCAAGCCACTGGTTCTAGGACTCAAACCACAGTCCGGCATGTGGGAGTCCATCAATGTAATCACTATGCTATCTGCTGGCCACAACATTTGGTATGTGTTAAGCGGAGATATACAGTGTTTGTCTTTCATAGTATGGTTTCCTTTGCTTAGCATTAAATTTTCTATGTCCATCCACTTTGCATCAAATAATCGGCTCTGATTGTTCCTTAAGGCTATTATTCCATAGTGTACATATGTCACATCTTTTTAATCCAGTCACCTCTTCTTGGGCACTTAGGTTGATTCCATGTTTTGGCAATTGTGAATAATGCTTCTATGAACATGGATTTGCAAGTGTCTTTGTAAGTACTTTCCTACTCTTTGGGTAATTACCAAGGAGAGGGATTAATGGGTCAAATGAAAGTTCTATTTGTAGACTTTTGAGGAGTGTCCATATTGTTTTCCATAATGTTTGTACCAATTTATTAGGTCATCAGGAAAGTCTTGACATGTTTTCCTATGTTTTTTCTGTGCAAAAATGTGTCATGACTTTCCCACCAACCCACTACATTCCCTCCAGCAGTGTAGGAAGGCTCTGTTTTCACCACAACCTCACCAGCACTTGTTCTTTATTTTCTTGATCAGAGCCATTCCTACTGGGGCTAAGAAGTTATCTCAGTAGGGTTTTGATTTACATTTCCCTTATGATAAGAGATGTTGAACTTTTTTTATATGCTTTTGGTCATTCGTATGCCTTCTTTAGAAAGTTGTCTGTTCAACTCATTTCCCCATTTTTTAATTGACTTATTCAATTTTTGTAAGTGAGCAGCTTAAGTTTCCTGCATATTCTAAATATCAATCTCTTACTTAAAGTACAGCTTGCAAATATCTTCTCCCACTCTGAAGATTCTCTCTTTACTCTAATTATTGGTTCCCCTGCTGTGCAGAAGCTTTTTGGCTTGATGTAGTCCCACTTGCTTATTTATTTATTTTTTTTTTTTGAGAGGTTTTCACTATAGGGTGCGTGCACTCGCCAGACAGACAGAGAGAGACATAGAGACAGAAAGCGAGAAATCATCCCCCAGAGGGGATGGTCACGCCACAATCCCTTCTCCTCCATTCTTCTCTTGGGATCCTGGGCATGCACGCACACGCGCCCGGCATGAGTTTTAAGCCACTGGGTCCACCACTTGTCTATTTTTGATACTGTTGCCTGTGCTTTAAGAAATCTTGGCCTATTTTCATATCTTTGAGTGTTTCCCCTGTTTTCCACCAGTCATTTTATAGTTTGAGATTTTACATTTAGGTCTTTGATCCATTTTGGTTGACTTTTATTGATGGTGAGAGACAGGGGTCCAGTTTCATTTTTTTGCAGGTGGATATCCAGTTCTTCCAGCACCATCTGCTAAACAGACTTTATTTTCCCCATTAGATTGTCTTGTGCCCTTTGTAAAACATTAGTCAGTCATATGTTTTGAAGTTTATTGCTGGATTCTCTATTCTGTTCCATTGGTTTACATGTCAAAGTTTGTGCCAGTCCATGGTGTTTAGATTATCACAGCTTTATAATATGCTTTAAGGTCAGGGAGAGAGATGCCTTCCATTTTTTTTTACTCCTGCACAGTAATGCAAAATAGGGCCTTTTGTGAATTCAAACAAATTTTATGATTTTTTTTTATTTCTATGAAGAATGTTCCTGGTAATTTTATCAATATTGCATTTAATTTGTCTATCTGGATAGAATTGACATTTTAATTATGTTGATTCTTCCAATCCAGGAACATAGGGCATCATTCTACTTTTGTCTATCATGTTCAATATCTCTTTTAAATTTTTCATAAATTTTTGTGTAGAGGTCTTTCTTTTAGTTGGATTTACACCTAAGTATTTTGTTTTTTCTTGTGGCTACAATAAAGGAGATTTTTTTTTTTTTTTGGAGAGGTTTCGCTATAGGATGCATGGGCTCACCAGACAGACAAAGAGAGACATAGAGACAGAAAGCAAGAAATCACCCCCCAGATGGGATGGTCACGCCGCAACCCCTTCTCCTCCATTCTCCTCTCGGGATCTTGGGCACGCACGCACACACGCCCGGCGTGAGTTTTAAGCCACCGGGTCTGGGATGCAAACCACGGTCGACCACGTGGGAGTCCAGCGACATAGCCATTACGCTAACTGCTGGTTCCCAATAAATGAGAGCCTTTATTCGATTCCATCTCAACCTGTCATGTTGGTGTATAAAAATGCTCTATTTTTTAATATTGATTTTATATACTGCTACTTTACTAAATTTAGTTATCCCTTCTAAGAGTTTATTTTTATGTGTGTGTGTGGATTCCTTTGGCTTTTCTATATATATAATCATGTCATCTGTGAAAAGGTAGAATTTTACTTCCTTTTCCTATTTGAGTGCCTTTTATTACCGCAGTATTTTGACTGTGTCCTATCGCATGAGGTCAGATATGAAATGTTCCACTTGTGTCATACTGATGTTTAAAAATTTTCGGATTTGGGAGAATTATGGATTTGATATTGGATTCATAATGCTCAATGTGTACTATTATAAACGTATTAACAGAACACTTCTCCCTCTAGAAATAGTGATATAGATGATAGAACCCCTAGACTAATGCACCAAAGCCCACGTAACAAATATGTAGTTCAACTAAGTTCTAACTTTTACATAAGTTGAAAGTATTATTATGGTGTCTTTGTGAAAGCGGTAGGATTTGAAAAGAAATGGGTAGAAAATATGTGTATAAAATTAAAAATTAGACTCCAAGGAGCAAATAGATTAAGAGAATATAGATAAAAGTAACCAGGACAATGATGACAAAAGTCAGGTGACCAAAGCCCTGGAATTTACATGACAAATTTATTCTGAACTAGATAGTTTTCTTTATAAAGGATACTGAGAAATCCAGGACTGTCTATAATCTGAAGAAATTTGGATAATAGAGTGAGAGTCTGAAGTAATTTAACTGACTCCCCAAGCCACTCCTGGCAATGCAAGTTTCTTACTTTATATCATATCTTGTCCAAAGGAACACAAATGACATAATTTGAGAGTAGATCAGCAGTTGTAGAAAGATACCTTTATCTGGTTCAATCTTATTCCTTTTTTTCCTATTTTTGAGAGGTTTTTGCTATAGAGTATGCACACTTGCCAGAAAGACAGAGAGAGATAGAGAGACAGAAAGTGAGAAATCAACCCCGAGGGTGGATGGCCATCCCACAATCCCTTCTCCTCCATTCTCCTCTCAGGATCTTGGGCACGCATGCACATGCGCCCAATGTGAGGTTAAGTCACCGGGTCTGGGACTTGAACCATGGTCGACTACATGGGAGTCCAGTGACATAGCCATTATGCCAACAGCATGCTGGTCCTGTATCCGGCTCAATGTTTAAATTTGTATAAGAAGAACTATAAAGATCCTAATGGAAAGTTCTATAAAAAGAAAACTCATCTGGCAAGATAACTTTCCTGTTGACTTACTACAACTTTCTCCTTTGGTATATGTAATT